GTAAATACTAATTTTCGCATATCCCTTAAGTCGTCAGTAAACCATTTAATTTCAGGTCTCTTATAATACACTGACTTAAGAGGAAAATTGATTTCAGCTTTTTGTTTTAGAATATCTGTTATTATATTTGCAGACTGATCAGAATTCAAATCATTAAAATTAAAATACATCCAATTAAAATCATTTATATCACTGGCAAATTCAACTAGCGTATGATCATTTATAACCCTCTTTTTGTAACACATGTTGTTTTTAACTAACGGTATATCAAAAAACAGGAAATTACCACAATGATCAGAAACAAGTGGTTCACACACACCGACTGTAAGACTATCACTATCGATATTTGTAATTAAATTATCAAGACAAGATGCTGTAGTTAGCGTAATTCTTGTAGGGGTGTGAATCATATGTTTCAAACCATACATACAGAAAATGTTGCGCAAATATTTTGAATGTTGAGTGTCATCATCTATATTAAAATTTATATCTCCTGCAATTACGATTCTTTTATAGTTTTTCCATAAATGGTCGATCAAATTAAGAAACCAATCAATAAATATATTAACATCACCTTTACTAGATGACCTATACAAAGTGACTACGACACAATTAGATTCTTTCAACACCGCGGCACAAAACTCAGCATCGACCGGTTTACAAAAGGAGGATACGTCTAGTGCCCGCAGATTAAAATTTTCATTGGCATAAATGGCAACCCCTCCATGCGTATTTCTTTTAGAACGACAGTACGAGGAAACCAAGTTATAATTAAGTATAATTTATACCTGTAGTATCCTGCCAATGCTCAGAAACGCACAGTATGTTGAATGGATTTTCATATAAAAAGGTATTTAAGACATCAACTTTGTTAAATAAACTTCGCACATTTAAATGAAATACTGAACATCCAAATAAACTGAACAAATCACTGGATAAATTAACTTCTGTCTGCGTAGTTGAACTGGGATAGATGTTCGTCGTTATTTGGGTATCTTCTCCGAAATAAAAATCTATTTAGAACAACCTTACTTGGCCATATTTAATAATAATAATAATAATAATAAGAATTAAGATAAACTCAATAAATTATTGTTCAATGATTAATAATGGTAACGCTAAGATAAAATATAATAATTAAAAAATGTAACCTAATATTTATAAAAAAACTAAAAACTCTTTAAAGAATATCGACAAAATATAACTTAATGCTCCATTGGAAATAATATAACAACTGAAACACAAACCGACTGAAACAAAAATAGTTGGAAACAATTATCCAAGGGAAATATGTTAATTTTAGTTAATAAGAGAAAAATGAGAAGCAAGAAAAAGATAGCAGTCATCAACAGTTACAATAAACATTACCAAACAGTTAGCTCATACCCAAGAGAATTCACAGAAAGATGTAATTCTGTGTTCAAGGAACAATAAATATTAAAAATAATGTTTCTTATATTATTCGTTGTTCATAAGAAATTATTAAAATTAATGTTTCCTTTGGACGCCACTGTCCAGGTACAAATTAGTCTGAAAGGCTTTTATACGAATTAGCAATTCTCTATCAACTCCTTTTAAAAATATTAAACCGCTGAAATGTGCATTATGCAACAGAGAATTTCTCAATATCAAAGCGTTTAGAGTAAAAGGCTACAAAAACTAAGAGTCCAGCTTGTTTCTGAGAACAACTTCCAATTATCTTTAAATAATTCAAAACGATAAAATCTTAAAGAAAATAAAGTAATAATATGGTTTTAAAAAGTATAAATATACAATTAAGCTAATAAAAGAAAAATATGCTGGCTATAATATACAATTTTTTCGTAATCCCTTACCATTTTATTTTTATTAAATATCAAATAATGGTGAAATAAAAATAAATATATAAGAGAGGCTATTGAACGTATAAAAATTCTTAAATGTAATTCACTCGATTTTGAAGTACATTTCAAGAAAAGAAAAACAACCAGTATGACTGGGTCAAATAATGAAATACGTCAGAGAGTTGTGGAAATTGAATTCAAAAAGAAAAGAAGCTTTGGACGTCTGGAAAAGAAGCTTCTTTATTTCTTTTATTCAACGCGTTTCGTTCTTCCTAATTTTCAATAAACATTTTTATTCTATTGATTTTAAATTTATTATTTTAGCGACATCTGTTACTGTAGTTGTACTTTTAATTATTAGGTAGTGTGGTTTGGCGAATGGGCTCAAGTTCCGAAATCAAAAATATGAGAAGACAATAATAATAATGTTGTTTATTGACATAAAACAAATACAATGTATAAAAAATGTCATTTAAAGATAAGCAAAATAAACATGCTTAGGCATTTATTAGAAGTAATTTATAGTCACGGTTCGTATATTTAAAAATGATTTCTTGCTTAATTATTTCAGAGTTTAGCGTTTAGCTTTGGTCTTACATAGGTAATTTTAATCAGTCTTAAAATAAAAATTTATGTAATGCACTGATATATAATTCTACTTTGTATGCTTTCTTTGTTTTAGCAGCTAACGTGTTGAAATTATATACCAAATAATATTTATTTATTTATTTATGTAGTTATAATATTTCTTTTTAATGCTTACCTTTTTAATCACACCTTGTATATATTATTTTCTTTAACTGTAGATTCGACTCTGCTCTCAGGGAATGGGTTCTATTTTTATATATTTAAATAAATTTTAATATTTTATGTTACCTGTATTGTGATTGTCTATAGCGCCTCCTTATATATCATTCAATTTAAAATATTAACAATAATATATGTTACAATGATAATACTTTATTAAAATTATGAAAATAGCCCTGTATATCAAGCAGAGAACACAAATAATATTTTCACAAACCAAATTACTAGGGTATATTCCTTCTTTTATATATAGAACGAAGGAAAGAAAAACCTTGATCAAAGTTTCTTAAACAATCTAATTTTCTTCCCAAGAATAAAATAAACAATAAGTCGATGGATGTATATAACGCCACCTATTAGGCAAGAAATTAATGCTTTGCTTGGGTAGAAAACTATAAACCTAAATTCTATTTTACAGTATTTAAACTAAACTCTGTAATCGATGTAACATGTAACTGTTTCGTCTATTGTTATTTTTCCTATGGTTTTATTTTGTAATTCTAGCTTTCCAGGAATTTTTCCTAAAAGTTTGTTTTTGAGTTGCATGAACTGACTCTTCTTTTCATTTATTCATAGCCCCATTTTTCCTGCCGTGTCTAATAACTGTTCTGTTATGTTTTTAAGTTCTTTTTGTCTTCTTGCTAACAGTACGACATCATCTGCGTATGCTAATGCTTGGTGGGATCTGCTGATCAGGGTTCCATATCTGTTTATTCCACTGTTTCTGATGACTAGTTCGAGGGTTAAGTTAAAAAAAGGGTGGATGATGGGTCTCCCTGCCTAAGACCGTTTTGGACTTCAAATTCTTCGATTTTTTCATCTCCTACTCTTATTACACACCTTGTACTTTCCCGGGTCATATGCACTTTTAAAATCAATAAACATAATATGGGTTGGTATTTCGTATTCATAGCAATCAATATGTAAGTACCTGTTTTAAAATAATTTTAATAATATATTAAGTTAAAAATATATAATTTAGATTATTTAAGTAGTAAAAACATCCCAGTATATCCATATGAATTTTGAACTGTATCAAGTGCTGCTACCTTTACATTATAACAACGTTTACTCTTGCAGAATAAATAGTGATGAATGTAACATTGTAAAAACGTATTTTATTAGTTTAATTTTCATACAAGACTTACAGTTTTCAGTGAATTATCTTCTAATGAATTTCATTCGTTGTAAAATAGCATCTGCTCACAGAAGTGTGAAATGCAGAATGATAAAATTATTTCGAGTGAAGAATTACCTACTCCCAGCTACTCGTCATATGTTGGCTTCAGAGATTATTTTGCGGTTTTTCATATTCTCGTCTCGTTTTGCTGAAAAATTAACTTAATTCCGGCTCTCTTATTTTAAACGAAACTATAAAGGTGAAGTAAAATGCTTTTTTAAAAATATGTAATAGAATTAATTTCTTATTTATGTTATTTTTAAATTTAATTTCCATTTTATTTAACCTATTCTTGCATAAAAATTAAAAATGTACAGCCGCATAAGCATTTTGTTATACAGTTCGTTTACTAACGCAAAAAATAAATATTCTTAAGTAAAAATATTGATTTATTATATAGTTTTATGATTTGCAGAAGTGAATTTCGACACTACATTATAGTCTAAGAGCCAGTGGACGCCTACCTGTATGTACTTGACTAGACCTGAGTTTTTGTACATTGAGGCCCCTATACCTACCATACCTGAGATGGGGAGTCACTAAGCCAAAAGTGGTGGACGCGGCGGGCGCTCAGGTAAGACAGCTATCGATTTTTGGCAAATTTTAAATGCATTTGACCACGTCTGCCGTTTTGAAATTTGAAAATATATTATTATTATTATTATTATTATTATCAGAAAACAACAATGCCAGACCATTATCGCGTGTTTTGTCATTGTGGAAGACAGTTTTAAAAGTGCTGAAAATAATAAAATTTTGAAAGTAGTTGACCAGTTCTCCCATTAATATATTTTATTTATTAGGGTCTAAAAAACTTATATTCATCACAGCAGACGTCTTCATTGAGTACACATGTCAGCAGATAACAAAACCTTAGCTACCATCCGGTCAGATGTATGTGTATAACGTTCCTTGTTTCACATCAATATGATTTACGTTATTACTTTATTTGCAGCAATTAATATTTATTTAGTAAAATATGAACTAAAATTTATGTTTGATTATAAAAAAGTAAATATATTTTAAAAGGATCTCAAATATTAAGGTATATTGCAAATAACAAATAATCATTCAAATATTCATTTTATTTTCTTCTTTTTATTTATTTAAGACAAAATTAAAAATAATGTACTAAAAAGTGAATCATGCATGCATTACAAAATATATTTTTTTTCCAATAAATTAAATTTTCATTCATCATCATCATCAGAATCATGTCTGTCGTGGTGTGACTCGTCTTCATCATCCATTGAATCGGAATCTATAAAAGTAAAAGTAAATTATAAAATATAATTAATTTGTAAATTAATCCGAACATATTCAATAAAGAATTGATTATTATGAACTTACCAGGGACTTGGGTAATCAAGTCACTCACGGAAGTTGGGAGTTGATCTCCTTCGAACCATTTACATACCAATTTATCGTCGTGCTCAATCCAACCATACTCTAATGGGTCCAATGTAATAGGTTGCTTTTTTAAGTATTTTTCAAAACTGTTGAAATATAATGTGCTCTTACAAGTTGCTGGTAAAGCTCACTTTTACATCGTGGTATTGAGCTTGCATCAAAATTCAAAATATTTTTGCTAAAATTGTCATTGACGTCGGAAGCTTTATAATTGCTGACTTAAAGTTGGTACCTTCCATCATCAACGTCAACAGATTTTTTTACGTTATAGAGCTGGCAGGTAAATTTCTGTATACTGTTAGATACCTCTTGTAACTGGTCCTATGTCAAATTTTCTTTACCAAGAGTATCAAATACTTGATGAAATTCAATATTTCTTTTCAGCAATGTAAAAGGTCTTTTTCCCCTTTATTAAAGAAAGCCGGATTGAAATCGCATCCTGTGAACGCATAGAAGCCAATTCTGCTAATTCTTTAGAAGGTCCTGCCTTCAACGTCTGTTCAGCTTCAGCGTTAATTTCTTTTTCTACTTCTCCTGTTTTAGGAAGATTCACATCTTCTACAAGGGAATCATGTACAATTGTATCATCAGTTATTGAGCTATCAGATGATGTAGATGGTTATTCAATTGCAGACGAAGACGTACTGGGCTATGATGGAAATTTTTTTTGTAACATCTATCGACATAAAATGTCTTTTCAATGCTGTAAATATCTTGTAACAATTACTATGATATGCAGAATCATAAAATGATATCTTTATATTTCAATTTATGAAATTTTCGTAACCTCAAAATCTATTGACATTTTGACAGTCTTTTTTGAAAATATCAGTAATTTATCAGTTTTTACCGTGTCACAAAAAACATATTTCAGTTTTTGTCTGTCTGTTTTTTTTTTTTTTTTTCATATATAATAATAATAATAATACTCTTCCTAATTCACCCCCTTACGAGTGAATTTCAACCCCTGAAGTCGACTGAACGACTTGTGTAGGGGAAGGGACAGCTATTATTATTATTTGCCGTGGCGCTCCGGGGCGACGTAAAGATGATTGATGGTGCCATTTGACTTACAGGTGAGGAAAACCCGGAAAACCTCACCCACCATCATATATTAAATAAATAATAGACTAATCAACAAAATAAAGGAAAGCAACACTACGTATTTTATTAATTTCACAAAACACGAGCTATCTGTATGAAGGTTTACAAATATACTAAAAACATCTGACACTAACCGTTATAGTGTGAGATATCTGGGCCCACTCAGGTATAAAATCTAAATTATTTAAACACTAGTAACATTAGAAGAAAATGCTATAGGCTAGAATGAGTATAATAGTAATCCATAGGGGAATAAAGAAAGATAGCTATAGACAGTCTATACATACACCTGGCCGGATAGTAGCTAAGATGTTGTTGTCTGACGTGTGTACTCAATCAAGACGTCTGCCGTGATGAATATAAGTTTTCTAGAATTTTCTTTATTTATTTTTGCCGTAGTCATAAGTTGTCGAATAAAAGCTATTGATACAATACTGTATTCAAAAGTTCAAAATCCTTCTCATCAAATTTTAAACATCTTATAAAAATGTCCGTCCGTCCGATGTCACGTTTTTTGTCCGCAAGAAAAGTCAAAAACGAAAAATGATATGATCATAAAATATTTCTGCAAAAACAATCTCTATAAGAGTACGAAGCCTATTGATTTTGAAAAAATCTAATTAAAAATGGAGGGTTAAGGAAGGGATTGAAACTTAAAAAAAAAATCTTAAAATAAACTTGAAATGTTTAGGAAAAATCAAGCTCTTCAATAAAACGAAGCCTATACATTTTTAAAAAAATTGAATAAAAGTGGGGGTGTTAAGGAGGTAAAAATTAAAAAAAAAATTATAAATCACAAACGAAAAACAATATTAACTTTATTCTGAAAAAATCAAGTTCTGCAATGGGACGGAGCTTATTGATTTTTTAAAATAATCTTTTTAAAAATAGGACATTAAGGGGGGTAAAAATAAAAAAATTATAAATCAAAAACAAAAAACAATATCAACTTGAAATCTTTAGAAAAAATCAAGCTCTGCAATAGGACCAAACCTATTGATACAAAAGTAAATATGATTAAAAATTGAGGGGTTAAGGGGGGGTTAAACCTTAAAAAAAATATCAAACAAAAACTAAAAACAATATCATTTTGACATTTTCAGGAAAATCAACTTTTACAATAGGACGAAGATTATTGATTTTTAAAAAATTTGATCAAACACAGGGGCTTATGGGGGGTTGAATTTAAAATAGTATTCCTCCTTGCGGACAGCCTTGTATGGTTGCCTTTCTGAGAATGAATAAAATAATACTGTTCTCCAAGCCAGCAGTGAGCCACTGGAATATTGTGACTGGGAGGTTTCTCTCTTCTAAAGCCTTCGTTATTGACCTGGTTGAGGTATTATTGAAAGTGCCTTCGATATCTAGGAAAGTGGCTATTGCGATTTCTTTCTCACTTGACTTTCCTGGCTACTATGTATATTGGTAGGGATAGGGAGGATTTATTTTTAGTATCACTTCCTTGATATACCTGACTTTGGCCTTTGGCTATTACTCTGTGGATTCTAGCGCTTGCAATGATCTCTGAGACCTCTTTCAGAACTTTCTCTGAGTTTCTTTTAGCCTTGCGTACTTCTTTGTTATACCGTGCTAGCTTACTTTTATAAGTAGTCCAGTCTTGTGTGGATTTGGCTCTGTTGAATAATCTTCACACCTAACCTCTCAGGCTATCTAGGTGTTTATTTCACCAGACTGTCTCTTTCGTTTGGCATCTCTCTTTTTAGGGACAGGCATCTTGGTAGGCATCAGTAATTGCCTTGTTTACCAAGTCTACTGTTTTTGTTTCTCCTACATTGGTAGTTTCCTTCTTTAGGATTCAAGGGATTTTATGTACCCTGCCCAACTCCTTTCTCTCGGGTCTCTAAACCTGTCAGCTCTGCGAGTTGGACATTGTATATGGAGTCGGATATGCTTGTGATCTAAACACGATAGTTCATCGGACACATGCAAATTTCTGATATGATCATTTGTGCCTCTCGAACATATGGTCATATTTAGAACTTCTTTTAGGTTGGCAGTGACAAAAGCTGGTTTGTTGCTTTTAATGGCAATTTCAAACCCATCAATTAGAATAAATGGTAATAGTGACTTACCTCTTTGATTAGTGCTGGTCCATCCCCAAATGGTGTAGTGTGCATTCGCATTGCATCCTATTATAAGCTTAAGTTTCTGCTCCTCGCAGTGGGCAATGATTTTGCCTAGTCTTTCTGGAGGGCAGATCATCTTCTCTCCCGGGAAGTAGGCGGAGTAGTTATTCTCTCCCCCTCTTGTTCGGAATGATATAATAGCTGTAAGATTAAGTTTAAAATATAACTTACCCTTACTTGCAGACCTAACTCTGCCTTTTAGTAAATATTTTTTTATAATCCTATGTATTTTTATTTTTGTTTTTTTTTTACCAATATAAGCTATTATTATTATTATTTATATATTTACCTAAATTTTATTTTTTAACTCAATAAATCTTTATTTTGGTATTATATATTTTCTTAATTTTTTTGCAGTCTCATCACAAAATCTGTAACCATTAAGTTCTAATCTGACTGCCAATTTTTATAAGTTCCACCCATTTCTGTAATAAAACAACCTCAATCCAGATTCATCTCGGTGGAAAATTAAACGTTCGAATTTCTCGAACAGATTGCCCAAAATTTCAAAATTAAATTACTTCACAATGCTCTTCACGAGCTCTACTTACGAACATTCCTTCCCTGTCTACATGTAAAAGCGTTGAGAAATGTCAGTCCACAAATCAGCATTAAGTTTATCTCCTAATATGATGCATTGGTACATTTTACGTAACATGTTACGCGAAAAAAAGAACAGTGAAAAATCGTTCTTTCATTATATTATTCTGGATTTTTCAGTTGAACAATGCCTCTTGAGCAAAAGTGATAAAATCAACATATGCATGCCTTTTTCGTTCTTTTATTATTTTTGCCTCAGCAGTTTTAACTCTGGGGTGAAATACAAGAATATGGAACAGTAGGTATTATTAAAAAAGAGATTTTAAGGTAGATACTGAACTGTGTTTCAAGCAGCTTACAAAGATATATGACGAGGCTACACTCTAAGAAGAAAACATAGTTTATAATTAAAATATTAGTTAAAGAATTAAGCATTCTTTAAATATTAACCCTTAATTTGACGATGGGTATCTTAATTCACAGGTATTTCTAAAATATTTTTCTTCTATGTTTCATGGAAAAATTGTATATATGAAGCACTGTGTACTTAGATATACATCTTGTCTAGTAAGTTATGCTTTCTAACCGCCATTTTTAAATTTCGCGCCTTTGCAAACTGTCAAAATTGTTAGGTTAGTTGTGGAATAGTTATAGTTTGAGTCAAATTTCCGTTCATCAAGTAAACAATTTCTGATTTCTAATAATTTTATAAGTACCAATTGCAAATAAATCACTAAAAATCATTAGAATAGACATTACTTGATGGTTGTGCATGTGTATTTTATGATAATACATATCTTTTGCTCTCCTTATAACTGCTCGATAAATCTTTCTGTAATTATTAAAGTAGTAAATGAAAGAACCATCTTTGTAATATTTTCTGATGTGATGCAACGCACGCATATTATTACAGGATGTTCTTATACTTTTAGTAATCCACTATTGCTTTATAGAACTGGCAAAGGATCCGCAGATAAGGTAATAGAATTCCAGTTAAATTTATTAGACATTAAAATAAATTTACTATAAATGGTTTTAGAAAATAGACGACCATATCTACTTTTGACATCAAAATATATATCGGCCTTTAGTTTTAACTCAGAAATAACAACTTTATGATCATCTGACAGATTAGCATTCTTAACTTCACATAAAACATCTGTTTCATCAAAAGTTGTTCAAAAATAATCAATTAGTGATTCCTAATATTGACTAATACGAGTAGGTTTGGTAACATGCATTTTTAGATTAAAACACCTAAAAAGGGACCCTTTTTTTAGACCAGTGGTTCCCAATGAGGGCGATACCTCATACCGGTATGCGATGAAGAGAGCGATAAAGGCAGCCAATAAAAATTTAGAGGGGCGTTGTAACACAACTGTCGCCTCTTGGAAAATACTCAAAAGTATCGATGACAAGTTATATCGAAATGTGGGTAGTAGTTTGGAACCTATGCTCTAGACCAGGGGTTGGCAGCTTTTTGGAATAGTGGACCAAAGAAAATATCTTTAAGAGGGCCGCACAGTAGGGTAGAGTGAAACAGTTCATTTTTTTCCAAACGTAATAGTGCGGAAAAAATGCTAAATATAAGAATGATTAACGAACTATTTTTATTTTATTTTAAAAATGTCATCTTCAGGTGTAGAGCCCACGTACTTGAGTTTTTCTGTTTTTTCCGAATACTCTAATAAAACGGAATAATAAATAAAATAGTACCACTTTTGCAAATGTCCTAATTAAAAATTAAAATAAACCATTTAAATATGTTTTGTTTATAAAGCGAGTACAACTTAACAATATAACATAGACGAGCAAACAAAAAAAAATTGGTATATAACATTCATGCTTTGTATTCCGCCTTAGTGTTAAATCAAGGTGTATGGTTCTAGAATGAATTCTTGCACAAATAAATTAGAGTCATGGAAAACAACAAAATTGAAATCTTCTGTTACAACCTTCACGCACTTCTCTACTGCCTTTGTGTGGCAGGGAATGGACAAAAAATCTACAGGACAAGTTCCTGTATCGTTTATAAATTATCTGATATCATCAGTTGCAGTACTTAAAAGATGTTTTTTTTTTTTTTTTTAAGGTGAAGGGTGAGAAAAAGTCCTTTTTATATTTTTTCCCATAAGAAACCAACGAGCACGTGTAAAGATTAGGTTAGATTGTCTGATATCCACATGCGTCATTTTCTTCTTCTTTTATTCTTCAGTTGCTTCACAACAGTTAACTCAGTCATTTCTTCTTCTTTCTTCTTCCTACAACATCACATACACTTGGTGATTGGTTCATGGCCCAAATCTTATATAATAGATAATAAATAATTCTTCACTCATAGTTTACATCTTATTAACTATACCCTGTCATAAGTTTACCCAAGAATTTTTTCGTTATAATACACACCACCACCTGTAGAGGCCTTAACTTGACAGGTCTCCTTTCAAAAAATGTTAGTTTCTTAAAAAAACAACAATGTTTAAAAAAGGCCTTATCTTTTAATCTGTTTAATGTATGTGATTTGTTTTTGTATAGTCTTGAATATTTTAAAATTTTTACTATAATTGACTAATATTTGTTTTTTCAAATATTTTTAACTTTTTATTACGTGTAAATCGGTTCATTTTACAATTTATTTCAACCCAAAATTGATGAAACTTGTTTTTGTAGTATTCCCTAGTGGATGGAGAGTATGGTGAGTTTTCTCTTTTTTATTATTTTATATATCGTTTTGTTTCCAACACACCTTACACCACATATTCTCCTTTCCACTAGGCGAGCCTGAAGATGAAGTGATGACACTTCGAAACCGGTCGCACTCAATGTTTTGTTAAACAATTAAACATTGGCTTTCCTTGTGAGATATAAAGGACTTTTTCTCACCCTTCACCTTAAAATTACCTCAACTCACACATGGCTACCCCCCTTGTCAATTAAAAGATGTGGTGCTGTAACTGAGCAATTGTGCCAATCAATAAGCTCATAAAATTCATTGGCATCGAAATCTTATTTGGGAGATTCTTGCATAACTGTGATTTTTATGTCCAGTATTTTATTTATCGTTTAGCATAAGTTTTCCTCATCAAACAGTTATTAATATTGTAAATTTAGAGGTATTTTACAACTGACATTATGAATTAGATCATAAACCTTCGCAAATTTTTTTAAGCTGCACCTAAATATACTCGAAATGTCAGTACCGTGGCATGTCCAATTCTTATTTTTAAAATTAAATATATAAATTTCTATCAAAATTAATTTTTTAATATAAAATGTACCTCTTATAACTACAATCTAATGCATACTGCATTGAATTTTATTGCAATTTTATTCCAATTTTTTGATCAGTAAAAAAAAATAATAATTTATATGTCAGTACCGTGGAAATAATGTCAGTACCGTGGCATTAACCTTTTGAAATTTTGTCACAGTTTTCGTTGTGTTGTAGCTTAGTAAAACCAGTTCACAGGCTTAGTTTTGTGAATAAATAGAAAATAAAAACGCGCAGAACAAACGTTTTAAAACATTTTTAATGTTAGAAAAATTTAAATTGTAACAATCGCAGTTACACGAGAATCACCCATTTAGGAATAACAAATATTCTTCGTAAGCCAAGTTGTCTTATAGCAGAACGATCATCAGAAAGAAGGTTCTCCAAATGACAAAAATACGCTTTTCGTTTGATAACAGAATCGATGACTGCCTTCAATTCGTTGTTCAAGTAGCATGACAACTGTATCATTCTTAAGACGTGTCTTCCTCCATCACTACACGACGGTTTTCTTTTAATATCAAACCACATAACCTTTTATCACAAATTCAGCGGTTGTTCTTAAATTTGTAGATGGACATTTACTTCCGATGTGCGTGTGCTAATTTACCTGGACTACGAGCTGCTAGATCTAATGAACAGTTTCATAGATCACTTCGATTTCATTCCCAAGAATTTGAGAAATTTCTAAAATTCTAGGGTCTTTACCGGAGCTGAAAACCTTAAGTTCATTTCGAACAAGCAAATATCGCTTCATGATATGTTTTCACAGTTGGCAAAACACTAGAGGGTATATTCGCTGGTGCACGAAATATAGGACAATTAGTACTATTTCTAGTGTCCTTCACTGACAAACTCATTACAACTTAAAACAAAGATCTTACTTCCGCGACTATCAAAAGAAGACTGAGTTCAGCTTAGAGCTACATAATTCGCCGTGCATAAACGATTATAAACTTAATTTAACTGCATTGAACAAATTTAAACATAATATCTGGAATTTTCTGGATTTGTTTATTAATGTTTTTTACTAGAATTTTATGTATTTTATTTTCAATTTGATGAAAGGTAGATGCCTGACGACATATTTATTTTTAAATGAAATTTTAACTTAATATATATAGAGGCAACTTTTCTTAGGTATTATATAGTAAAAAATAATATTATTTTTTCACTCCACCCTACCGCATAGTCAAAAAGAAAACATTATTCAGTGGCATTATTATGAAAATTTTATAATTTTCTTTGGTTGGGTATTGAACAAACTAAGGATATGAACTTTTCAGATCTCAAATATGCTCTGTTTTGTCTTTAAGTTCTGATAATGTCCATTTTGGCTTATTATTTAATATTTGTTGCGTTTTGTACAATACTGTTCCAGTAACAATTGTAATGTGATACTTGTTATTTTATCTATTTTTTATAGTGTTTTAAGCTCAAATGATTTTGGGAGTGAGTTATGTTATTAAATAACTCGTATTACTTTGAACAAGAAGTTGGACACCACTATATTTAAAACTTACTATACTAGACTATCGGTTAATGATGAAAATATAGAAAATCACTAACCATTAAGATATTATATTTAAACCAAGTTTTAGATAAGGCAGTAACAAATTCCAATTCACAGAAATTTACTAATTCAAATTTAGATGGTTTATTGCATAAAAATAGACTTATCTGTTATAACAGGAGGTAGTGTAAAGGAGAGATTTGCATAGGCCTTCTTCAAAGGGACTCGAACGATACTCTTCGGGTAGCACCAAACTCTTAGGTATAAATCTTCATAAACTTAAATCTCATAAACTTCTTCAGATGTAACTCGAACTAAACTTCTTGATATAACTTAAAATAAACTTCTTTAGATGCAGCTTGAACTTCTTTAGATATAACTCATACAGAACTGTCTAGATATAACCAGGCTACAAGGAAAAGCTAACAATATTAAGAAAGGAACTGGGAAATTTGCATAGGAATCTGGAAGTGTCATATACAATGTACGATTACCAGCCCTTTTTTCAGCTTTTTTCCTTTGCTACTTCCTGACGGGTTCCTGCAGACTTCTTCAAATTTAAATCCAGCTACTGCTTCTCCTTAATTAGGCTTGGTTTCCTTTATTTGGGGTTGACATAGCGGCACTGTAGCTCACTTTGTGCTCAATTGTTTTGTACTTCTAATGATTTTTTTAAAATTTTCATTTATTGTTACCAACACAAAAGTTGTCCTAATGTTACAAAGAAACTTCTTTGCTAAATAATATCTGACAACCATGGAAATGAGTGGGATGATCTCTTTACTAAAACCCAAGAATATATTGTAGCTCTTGACAATCATCAAAGATATAATATCTGTAGAATCACCAAACCATGAATTTATTTGACAAATATAATTCTTACACACAGTTTTTATAAAATGCAACCATTTGACAGGACATTGTGTGGGCTTCTAAACGTATATTACAATACTGCGTATGATGATAAATCCATTTTACTTTTTAAAAACTTAATAGGTTTAATATTGACATATTAAAGTTAATTCTTAATTATCCCTTATCTAAACTTATAAAATGTTAAAATGTAATAAACTTTCAAACTATTTAAAAACATTTCTTTCAGTGTATTTTAATTAAAGAAATAAGAAATAGAGCAATCTAAAAGTTTGTTTCAGGACGTAAAATTTTCAAATTAATTTACAAATTAAATTAAATGTGATTATTTTATTGCAAACTCCCTTTGTAAAATGTATCTCCTCTGTTTTCCGGAATTAACTTGATTGCAGTTTTTGACCCTACAAAATCGTTGGCCTGAAAAATATGTCAAGTGCTTTGCGATTAGAATCTATTCATTCGAACCAAATAAGAAGCTCACTTACTGGAATACCTTTTCACCTCCGATTTAATTGTAGTTAGGATGGAATACGTCATTAAAAGGAAAACTAATACGGTAATCCTGGTATCTTCGACAAAACCACGCCACCACTTAACAAAAAGATGGAAGATCTGATTAGCTACAACTACAACTTAAACTGGGAATGATGAACTAAGAATAATCACGCTAGAAGTAAATCACTTCACGATTATATTATAATCAAAACCTTTGTATATTAAAGAAAAATACTACACCAACATTTTTAGGTTCTGGCATTTAAATGCTGATAGATATCACTAGAGAATGGCATGAAAACTGCAAACCTCGAAGATAGCAGCAAACTTCTGCTGTCAACCCACTTTCCACATACCTGACCGACTAGAAAGAGGAAAAATACAACTACGACTAATACAAAATTTGATGGGCAATATCTAGCTTTTATCCATGCAAAGCACCAGTATCTGACGGTATCCATGCAACTCTTCTTTAGTTGTCTCTGAAAGAACTCACAACGCACATGGTTGGCTTTGAAGTATATCCGCAAAAAATGGAAAGAGGTAAAAGAAGTCTTTATACCCAAACCTAAAAACATAACTGTCAATTAGCCTGATACCGCTTTATACAAGATCATTGGAAAGCCTATGCAAAAGGTACATGCAAGGGATGTGGTGATAATAATTGTCAGCTATCCACAAACTAGAAAACATTTATTAATGTCTCAATACAACAAGAGTCTTAAAAACCACACCAACCAGGGCCATGGAAGTCATTCTAAGTCCTACTTCCACTGATATTTACATTAAGGAGTTTGCTCTGATGATAATGACACGACTTTGAACTATTGGAATAAAATAAGAGACCATTGTTCCAATTTCATCAAAAATTTTTGTAGATAAGTTGACATGATATCCACATTTTTTCATTTAATATAGATTACCAGGTCATGAAAATATAAGCGTGCATTTAAAGGTGTTGTTAAGCTTTTTAATGTGTCATTTATAGTGACCAGAAACAGTGTAGGACTAATTATTGACCCTTGTGGAGTTCCATTGTCTTCGTTCTGATTTTCCAAAAAGGAATTATTTACTCTTACACGTAATGATCTATTCTTCAGAAAATTTTTGATAAAAGCAAGACAGTTGCCACGAATATTCCACTAGTGAAGTTTTTTTAGAATGTTAAATCTCCAGCAGGTGTTAAAGGCTCTTTTTATGTCAAAAAATATTGCTATACAAGTTTGTTTTGTTGCTAGGCATTCGTGATTTTCGCTTTCTAGATCCAAAATTTTATCGATCCCAAATCGGTTTTGTCTAAAACCGTTTTTCTCAAAGATAAAGTGGCTAGAATTTTTCAAAGTTCACATGAGTCTATGGTTGATTATTTTTTCTAGTAGCTTACTTATGGAGCACGTTAAACTTATGGGTCTGTAAGATTCAGGTTGTAAACGAGGTTTCTGATTTTTTAGAAGAGGAAGGACAATAGCTTTAAACCATAGACATGGAAAGAGGTGTTGGTGCCATATTAAATTAAATAGTTGGAGAAGATATGTTTTTGCAGAATGGGGAAGACGTTTTAAAAATATTGCTGGGATATCGTCTGGTCCGGGGCTGGTATTTTTAAGATACAGGAGATAATTACTTAATTCAAATATAGTGAGAGGGATGTTTAATGGAACATCATTATTATTATTATTATTATTATTATTATTATTATTATTATTATTCTAGTCTAAAAAGAGGTCTATGTGTTTGGTGACTAATTTGTTATTGAGAAATTCTAATTTGTAGTTATCATTCGATGACATTTTTTTATAATTTATAGCTATGACGTTTGTTATCTCTGGTGGATAAGTCATTAACTTTCAAACTAGACATTTTTGGAGTGTATTTTAGGCCTAAGATTTTTCTGATTCTGTTCCAGACTTCAGTGATAGGAGTTGAGCTGTTTATTTCTGAGAAGTATTAAGTCCAGGATGTCCTTTTTACTTTATTGATTGTAAGGTGTGCTGTTGATTTATGTCTTTTAAATTCTTATTTTCCAGTGTTTTATGTCTTTTATACTAATTTAAGGCGGTTCTCGGATTACTTTATCGCAGTTTGTATTCCACTAAGGTACAGGAACATGGTTTTTCACAATTTTGGTTTTTTCAATAAATAAATCAGCTGCATCCAAAATAATTTTGTTAAAGTTTGACAGAGATTCGTCGATATTGTTGCTTATTATGCAGCTTTGTATTTTATTATCTATGTAATTCTCAAAACTAGACCAATTCGCCAAATTAAGTTTAAATTTTGGAAAGAACGTATCGACCGGATGGCTAGAACTATTTTTAATTAAAATAGGGTGATGGTCGCTACCATAAGTATAGTGGAAAACTTCCCAGGACAACCGTGGTGTCAATTTCTGATGATTCTCCAGTGTTTATGTTAAACCTAGTTGGTGATCCGTCATTTAGAAAAATTCAATTGGCAATGTGAGATGAGTTTTTCTACTGTTTTGCCTCTGACATCAGTAGACGAAATCTCCTATAGTTACGTGGGGAGAAGGTATTTAGTCCATAAGGTCTTTCAAGTCATTGAACGTTGCTAAAGAACGTGATGGAAGGTAAATATTACAGCTATAGTATGGAGTAGATGCAGATATTTCGACCACATTGGCTTTAAC